CTTCTAATTTTTTAACAGATTGACCGATCAGAATGCGGATAAGACCATTTATAAAGGCTATGTTCAATTAAAATTTTCGGAAAATATGAACTGACTTAACTCGATAAATTTTCAGCAACCTTACAACAGGAATTTTCTATATAGTTTTATAGAACTTTTATTTAAAACAACTTTTAGGCTCTTGTACCGATAAATTTTGAAAATTTCATCAGTATAGTATATTGTAAAAATTGAAGTGAAATGCTGTAAAACTGACTGAATCGTTTGTAATGAGATGTTGAGCAATTTTTATAAAAAAAGATTGGTCCCTTCAAAATATACTCCTCATGTTTTATTTCAACAGCAAAATTGTTACTCAAAAAATATATTACGCAAAAAATTTTCTGTTAAAATTACATAAGTTCTAGGAAAACAGGTACGAAAATGCAAAAATTTTCAAGTCAAATCGAATGATAAGAAAATTGAAATTTAGAAAAAAATCAAATCTTCAAAAACAGTCAAAATTAAAAAAATATTTTAATTCAGGAAAAATCTAATTTTCAGAAAAAAAATTTTCTTGATCAGTTTCAAAAATTTTTAGAAATTCATACTTCGACAGAAATTAAAAAATATTTTATTGATTTTCATTTTAAAAATCTCAGAGAGTACGCATTTTTATTTATATATAAATGCGTAACAACTATGTCCTCGTTTTTACTTAATAAAAAAGTTAAAAAAATTTACTTTGGAGAGTGAATTTTATAAATAATATAAATCAAATCCGTCTAAGAGTGAATTTTACTTTTAGAGAAAATAAATTAATTGAAAATTATCTACTTCGCATTCATTCCCAAATCACTCTGCAAAATTTTAACAGTGTATTGCTGATGAAGTAAAACATACATATCAATTATGCTACAATTATGCGTTGTTTATTTTTCTGTAACGTGTTAATTAAAATTTTTCACATTTTTATTATGCATTTTTTCAAGTATAAATAAATTAGTATTTTTTTCAATATTACATTAAATGTTTCCTAATGTAAAATTGACATTTTTTCCCTTTAAATTAAACAGTTTCTCCTGTAATTTTGGTAGGACTTTATTTTCCGTGTAGATACTTTGTTCGACTAGCTCGAAAATATGTAAAAAGAATATATCAAATTAAAATCACTGGAAAAAATATTAAAAATTATTTTTTTAAACTTCATAAGAAATTCAACTATTTGCATGTTCGTATCGTTTTGAACGATTAGAAATGAAAACTGAAAAGAACAGTCGGTAATGGCTTTTACTGTCAACTCTTCACCGAAATTCTACCTTTTTTTCAATTTAAATAAAATCTTTCGTAGCAGTCATACGGTATCACTGAAATCATACCTTTACGTAAAGAAGTGAGTTCAAAAATCAATTTATATTAAGAAGCGATGCGGAAAATCACATACTAATTTTGGCGGTAAACAATTCATAAGAAAACAAATATTTTATGAGAATCATTTACTTTTTATTTACTGGGTTAATAGATATCAACACAAAAGATAAATTAGAAAGGCTGTTTAAGAAAGTGTTTAATTTGGAGTGAAATGCCTCATCTATAATTAATTATTTTCTAGTTTTATGCATAAAATATGGCTTTCTACTTTATTCTTAAAAATTTATAATTCTTTATCAAAACTTATCTCGTGAAATTTATTTATCTGTTAACACATCTAAAAATAAGTTTATTAATTACGTGATCTTTAATGAACTAACTAGTAAAAATTACAAAGCAATGTCAAAAATAAATATAAGAATACAAAAATTTGGATAAAGAGAGAGAAAGTATGATTGGTGTTTGGACTACTTTCATATTTTCACTTGTGAGATGTAAGAGAAAGTTTAATTCAGAGACGTATTCACTCAGCTAAGTCTTGTCATTGTTAGATAAGTAAGAATTATATTTTAAAACAAGAAGATTAGAAAGCTTATCATAAATTTTTTTTTGTTGTGATTTTTACTATTTTTTTAATATTTTAAATTTTCATAAAAAAAGAATTATTATTATTATTATTATTATAACTATTTTTCATAGTAATATTCTCATTTCCTTAGAAGTCGCAACTTATCTTCTAAGACTTATCAATACTTAAAAAGCGACTATCATTTTATTAATTAAATAAAAACAGTATCCACTTTTTACTATTATCTTTTCCTTCAACATTTACGAGTAAATATCCTTATGCATCAATATACTGATATCAATTGTTCGAAATATCCGAAAACTTGTCATGTTTTAAAAATTAGAAAAAAAGATAGTCGAATAAAATATTTGAGTAAGATTTAAATTTTAAAATGAGAAAATTAAAAAAAAAAAACATTTATTTGAAAAATTAAAAAAAAATAAAATCTTACCTTGGGTAGCAATGAGGAATAAAAGGTAAATTATACTTTGTTGAAATTTCATTGTAAAATCAGTCAATTTTTAGTATGTATTGATTAATAAATTGTTGATGAAATTATTTTTACGTTGATAACATTAAAAATTATTCCTTAAACTCATGAGTTAACGCAATAAATATAATCAGTTAAAAAAATGAAGTACTGTGGATAAAGAAACGTTATAGAAAGGTTTTTGGATAAGAACTGATCACTGGAGGAGGCCTTTGACTACATGTCTTATACGAACTCCCCACTCTTTCTTTCGAATCTCCAACATAAAAAACTGTGCTGGTTGTATTCATCGTTTTTATTCTCACGACTTTCGTCTTTGTCAGTAAGTTATAAGATTATTTACTATTTAATTTCAACTCGCAACTGGTTTTAGTTTAATGAAATAATATAAATGAATGCTTACATTGCTGATGCTCATAATTAATTATAAATCATAATTCAAAGAACTGACTACCAAAATGTTAATTTCGATAGTTGTAAGTGGCATTCTAATTTCTTTTAAAGTCATTATTCGTTTTAACAGTGGGTTTACGACACTTAAAAGAGCATTAGAAAATTAAATTTACAGAAACTTTATTCATCGGGTCAACTTCAACCTATCTAATAAGTCCTAAATAGAAAGGCCGCAGCCAAGTCAGAGATAGAAAAAATGCCCTCAGTTCAATTTGACTGCATTTTTTTCTAAAGCTTCCTAATATTAAGAAGAACATTTTAACACATAATAAAGCTCAAAAAAATTTGAAATTATGTGTATGTGTTGGAAGGTTATGTATTTCTTCACAGTTATGAATTTCTTTTTGAATAATACCCTTATTTTAATATAGATTTTGAAAAAGTCGGTACGTACGCTTATGTACACTTATATATACTGTTTTTTTTTTTTTTGTGTATCGCAAAAAAAATTTTATTCTGTATGTGAATAATTTATGTAAGTATGAAAAACAATAAGTTACGCCAAAAAATATCTAAATTATGTATCTTAAAACTATTTCTTTACACCGCTTGGTGCTAAAATTTTCGAAACTACTGAACCCTAAAACGGAATGTCATTTGTACTTGGCCGCCCCTATTATTTGTAAAGGGCGCCACTGAAATTTAGTTCTCGGTTTCCACAATCGGACCCGAGCATGGAGGAAATCAGCAGAGTCGAGAGAGGTTGCTTGGAAAATTACAACATTATTAAAAAAATTCGTTTTCTAAAATATTCTATTTGACCAAACCCTTTACAATAATAATCTCCTGTTATATATACAATAATGAATAATTACTATTATTCACACACACACACACACACACACACACACACACACACACACACACACACACACACACACACACACACACACACACACACATCGGGGCAGATACTGCTACCGGGCGCGTCTCCCCGAGTGGATGGGAGAACGCTCGCTGTCCTTGGATGACACTTGGATAATCTCTTAGTTGATGAGGTACAGCGGGTAGGAGTAAAATACGCTCCAGTGGACAAAACTCCCCTTTAATGGGTTGGTCACACTAACTGACCTAGCAAGTCGAGGGTAGCGTTGTTCGCGTCCGTAGGTTCTGTTTTTACACCCTACACGTGCTCTCCGGGTAGTGCTAAATGAACAACACCAAACAACGATATGGAAATGTCAGAAGATATGCAAACATCGTTTACAGTACAGAGGATGGATACCTCAGTGCCGGCGAGGGAAGGCGTGCAAACAGGCCTGAACTTGTCGTGATCAAGCGACCGTTACGACAGCAGGGTAGACCCCATGGCTCTGCTGTCTGGAAATGCTACAGGGAGTACGCAAACAGCCCAGATGGAGGAGAACGGACAGCTGAACAACGGTCCTTTAAAAATGATGAAAACTCGATTTTCGAAAAACGGGGTAAAAACAATAACTTCGGGGTAAAAACAATAACTAATTTTTGAAAATTTTCAATTTTTTTAGCGGGAAGTTAAAAATGTAAAAAATTTGAAAAATTTTTTCTTCGTGCTTTATCCAAGGATTGCATGGTTACCAGTGCTCCGAAAAATTTTTAACTAAAAAATCTGAAAACTAGAGTCTTCAAGCTTCAAAAGCTTTGTTTTTTTATTTCCTGTACGACCATTTTTCACTGAAATACAGCCTGTTGAAAATCGCCAAAAAATTTCGAAAATTTTTTTGTTCCCTTAATTTTTACGAGAAGTTTAGTTCGAAGGAAAATTCACCATAAGATGAAGGTGATTTTAGATTTTAAAAATCGTAAGCATATAGTTTGGTGGAATAGCTTTAAATAAAAAATTTAGAATAAGGAATAGAAACATCCTTTACACCAGAGAAACATCGCTTGTTAAAAATAAATCATGACAGATTTTTCTTAAGATTTCCTCTAAACATAGAGACCAAATTACCCAAAATTATCGTCATTTCACTATGGAATTGGTATTTTGATTTATGATTCACCATTTTGACTGCTAAAAAGAGTTTATTGTTAACAAAATATAAATTTACACTAAACTTACTGTGTATTTGTTTAGAATATGAAACCGCAAAAGACATTTAAATTTACCAAATGCATTTTCATGTTGTAAATCCTTTCAAAACCACAAAGAAAACTTACTTTAGTCAGAAGTTGTGGCCTATTTTCCAATTTTTTATATTGCTCATTATTTATTTGAGTTGATTGGATTACAGTCGAACCTTCCGATCCAGAAGTTTGATTATCTTTGAAAAGCTTTGATCTTTCTACAAGTTTTTTTAAATTTTCTAGTACTCGTGCCTCTTCTCGTTTTCGTGAGGGAGGCCAATTTGGTCGAACTGTATGTATGAAATTGATGACCGGAAATTCCTGTAACACTTACACACATGCACACATAGTTGCGCAAACTGAGTATTCTTACTGTTGATTGTGCATTGAGTCTAAATTCTAGGACATTCAATCGGCTATTTCCTTTTTTTTTAGCAATAAATAGCTATTAATTCCCAAACCCATTAGAAACTAAATTTATTTGCAATAAAATTCTACTAAATGCATGAGAATAGGCTTACAGCTTCGATAGTGTACTCTTGCTGATGAAAGCAAACCCTTTTCTAATAATACTAAAGTTGGATCACTATACAGTCAATAATTTAGCAAATGAAAGCATTTAAAGCATCTTATTTTGCCGGATCATTTATTCAAAGGCACACCTTTAATGGTTGCTGGAGTATGTTGTTGCTAATAACACTGGTTTCTGCAATAGTTGCTTGACTGAGAAGACGGCGATTTGATAAACATCGGTTACGATTTGGTATTTCTTTTTGTATAACATTCTTGGCTAAATTATCTTCATTAGTATAATTTTGATTTTGCAGGAGTTCAACCGTTTCTTCTACTAATGGCTCATTCATTTCGCTTTACTCCATGAAAGCAAAATGAGGTTCGATACAGAATTATAATTTCTTGATATCATTCGAACAAGTCTCAGTATGCAGCTCAGTCTGCTACTGCTGCGACTGTAAACACCCCACTCGTATCTGCATTCACCCTCTCTAGATTCCACCTATCCCTACTATTTTAACGTTTCATTACTATAGGTATATACCAGCTGGCTTACGAGTATTGAAGCTAGGTGCACGAATATATTGATAAAGCGCAAGTCTCCAGACTTCAGTACCATTTCGCTATAATCAGAGTTTCAAATTCATTCCAGAAAAATTATTTCATTGTTAAAATAGAGTACATTTATTTTCAGCCTAATACAATCGATACACATATTGTTAAAATGGTTTAAGATTAAATAATAAATTGATAATTTTTTTTTACAATTTTTATTCATTGCTAATTTAAATTAGGGGAGAGTGAGGCGCGACGGCCCCCTGGGGCACAACGGCCCCTCTCAAAAATTAGGTAAAAATTTTTTTTTTCGTTTTCCGTCAAGTTATGACCTCTATGATGTTATTTTGATATTTTGAGGCCAATATGGGCCAATATGGGATATGTGGGGCATAATGGACCCCTCAAAAAAAAATTGTAATGAAAAAATTATTTTTTTTTTAAATTGTAATAAGTTTAAAGACTTTATTTTTGTAGGTCTTTTCGAGTCAATGGTATTTATCTTGAGTAAAATTAATTAGGAAAAAATTTAATTGAACTAAAAAATTTAACAAAAAATTGAATTATTATGGCTTATAAAAAAAAGCCATGCGGCATCCTTCAGGATGGAAGTAGATTTCATATAATCTATGATTTTAATAACAATATTATGAAAATTACGGCTTTAGTTATTGATACAATATTCAAAATTATAAATAATAGATAATTTTAACTTTCCGTTTTTCAGAGACTTTTGACTTGAGAGAATTATTGGAGTTATCGTGTCCACAAACTGCGTTATATCCGAACAAAAACAGTTTCACTGTAAAAAAATTGCGCCAAGTCCACGTTCATAAGACTATTAAGAAAAAAAATTAGGATAACGGTTGACCCTAAAGGCCATCTCTGCAACTTCCCGCTAATTCCGTTAGTACATGGCCGTTTTTTTGAGCTCTTCGAGCTCAAAAATACAATCTGTGTGTTATTTTGAGCTCTCCGAGCTCAAAAAGATGCCTTTTCTGTGCTTTTGCGCTCTTTGAACTCAAAAGTCTGAATGAAGTTTCATAGAACACTATTTTTTGAATTTTCAAACCGCAATAACTTTTGAATGAATGAACCGATTTTTACGCGGTTGGCGGCATTCTACGCAGTTTTTTAAAGGCCTATCAAGCTAGCATGGACTCATCCATCAGGCATTGACTTATTATTCAAGCAACAAAATTTACTTGTGGTGCTAAATTTGTTGCTTTTTTGTTGCTAATTAGTTGCTCTATTTAGAATATTGTTGCTTGTTTAGATTCCGAGAAATTAATAATAATGATCGTCTAAGATGGGCTCTGCCACTGCTAGCTTGATATACCTGTTTTTTAAGCCTCATAAAGAATTCTTAAGTTTCAATTGGTTAAACTAGAAATTTCGGAGTAATTCCGAAAAAACACTTTTTTCGGTTTTTTTTCGTTCACGATATCTCTTAAACGAATCAACCGATTTTGACCGGATTGGCGGCAATTGACGAGGTTTTTGAAGGTTGAGAGCTGATTAGTTTTTTAAATCGATCGGTAGAGCCGTTTAAAAGTTATTCCAAAAAAACCACTTCTGAAAAAAATTTTTTTCCTATTTTTTCCTATTTTTTTGGAGATTTCTCTAAATTTCTCAAAATCTATCGGCCCGAATCTGTTCAAATTTTCAGGAAATCTTAGTTTAGTGAAGCCCTTTCGAATGGCACCAACCGCGATAAAATCGGTTTAACCGTTCAAAAGTTATAAGAGGCTTACATACCCGAGAAAAAATATTTATATATAATTATCACTTTGTCTTTCACTTCCTCTAGCGTAATAAGTGAAAGACATGGTCAAAAAATTGAAAGACTACAAGGCGATGGGGGAGGATGAGATACCAAATGAGGCGTGGAAATACGGGGGGGACAGATGTGTTAGTAGAACTATGGAAAATTTGCCAGAGGGTATGAGTTGGAGAAGGGTGGCCGGAAGAATGGAAAAACGGGGTAGTGGTCCTAATTGCTAAAAAAGGAGTTGGAAAGAAGGTTGAAGATTATAGAGGGATCACTATCACTATCACACAGACTGCTTACAAGGTATATGTTGGAATTCTGGAGAGGAGGCTTAAGAAGGAGGTGGAAGGAAAAGGACTCTTGTCGGAAACACAAGCAGGTTTTAGGGAAGGAAGGGGGACGATAGACAACATTTATGTGCTGAATTACCTCATAAGTAGAGAAATTGCTAAGAAAAAAGGGAAACTGGTGATTTTGTTCGTAGATTTTAAGGCGGCTTTTGATACTGTGGATAGGGATGAATTGGTGAAAGGAATGATTAAGAAGGGGGTCAGGTTAGGACCAGTAAGGAGATGTGAACAGGTGCTGAGAGAAACATGTGCCAAGGTCAGAATAGGAAGGGAGTATGGGAAAAAATTCTGGACGGAAAAGGGGGTAAAACAAGGCTGCCCTCTGAGTCCTTTATTATTCGTGTTATTTCTTGCAGACCTAGAGGAAGAATTGGAGAAAGGTAGATGGGGAGGGGTGGACCTCTTAGGAGGGAAAAAGGTGTACTCTTTGGCGTATGCGGATGATGTGGCTCTGCTAGTAAAGGAGGAAGATGATATGAGAGGAATGATAGGGACACTTGAAAGATATGTAGACAGTAAAAAGTTGGTAGTAAATGTGGGAAAGTCGAAGATAATGAGATGTAGAAAAGGTGGAGGAAGGAAGAAGAGAATAGCTTGGAGATTGAAGGAAAAAGAGTTGGAGGAGGTGGATAGATACACGTACCTGGGATACGTGATAAGGGCGAATGGAGACCAAGGAGAGCATGTTAGAGAGAGAATGGCAAAAGGGGCAAGAATCTTGGGGCAAGTATGGGGCTTAGGAAAAAGGAAGTTTGGTAAGGATTGGGATAAGAGGTTGTGGCTGTTCGACAAGTTCGTTTGGTCTGTAATGAGTTACGGGGTAGAGATATGGGGTTGGAAATGTTGGGAAGAGATTGAGAGAGTGCAGGAAAGATACTTGAGATGGGTACTTGGTGTGTCGAGGAGAGTGGCTGGTTACTTGGTGAGGGAGGAGCTGCAAAGGGATAGGTTAGAGGATAAAGCTGGGATGAGGGCGTGGGGCTATGAAAAAAGAGTTGAAGAAGGAGGGGGTGGTCAAATAGCTTGGAGATGTAGGATGGAGATGAGAAAAAGAATTAGAGCAGGGAGAGGTCTGGTGGGCTGGGAATTAGAGAGAGAGAGGAATTTTATGAAGAAAGAGGTTGGAATCTTCTAGAAGTGGAAAGAAGATGGGAGGAAAGTCTCATGAAAGGGGAAGACCTAGTAAGGATTGAAAAAAGGAGGCAAGAAAAGGAAAGGTGGGACAGGATATGGGAGGCTAGAAGTAATAGGGACTACAAATTTATTAAGGGATTAGGGATACCTGGTTACCTCAAAAAAGGATGGAGCGAGGAAAGATGGAATAGGGTGGCGAGGTTTAGACTCGGAGATGCGCTGAAGGGGAGCAGGTACTGGGAGAATAGGAAAGGTAGACTCTGTAGTGTCTGTCATATAGAAGAACAGATATGGGAGCATGTCTGGGAAATGTGTTCTGGGCTAGGGGTGGACAAAGGGTGGCGGGAGATGAGAGCGGAGATATTGGGAAACGAAGGACAAGGACAAACTTGGCTGGAAAGTATCGAGATGCTATGGGGTTACAGGGAGAGGGTGTAATGTTAGTCGTAAGTAATGAAATTGCAACGGAAGTGGAGGTCCTTCGGAATGAATGTGCAATAGAGGTATGGAGATATGAGTGATGTGTGATGGCGGGTTTTTTCTTTGCTTTTCATAGATTTCTTTTTTCCCCGCCAGTATGAGTATGAGTATGATAATGTAAATATTGCCTCTGTAAGATATGGAGAGAATGTAGATTAGTGTATAAGTTATAGAGTTAAGGGTTTTTACAATTATGTAATTAGGTTAAGATGTAGTATTAAGTCTAATATGTAAGCGGAACGGAGGTCCGCTATTTGTACCTCTATAAAATGAGCAAATAAAAGGTTATTATTAATAAAATATACCGTTTATTGATAATTTACAAATTTATTAATCGAAATTAATGTACATACACTGAAAATATTCAAAAATTTTTTCTTAGCATATTTGGTCCTTAACATGAATAGATATGGACAGGTATGATCGGGCCTGAGAGTATTTAACGCTTCAGACATGAACAGACATGGACAGGCATGAACAGGTATGATCAGGCCTGTGCGTATTCAACGCTTCAGACATGAACAGGGATGAACAGACATGGACAGGTATGATCAGGCCTGAGCGTATTCAACACTTCACCCTGATAAAAAATAAGTATTGAGACAAAGAAAAAAGTATTGAAAAGTATTGGTTTTCTAGTCAATCCAATACTTTTCTATACTTTTTTCTTTGTCTCAATACTTTTTTTTATTCAGGGCAGACATGAACAGGCATGGACATGTCTAATTTCAGGCCTGATCATACATGAACAGACATAAGCAGGTCTAATTTCAGGCTTGATCATACATGAACAGGCATGGTCAGGTCTGATCATTTTTTTCCGGGTAGATCTTATCAGACTTGCATAGTCAGAGATGTGATAAAAATTTTTTCTTTGACAAAAAAAATTTTATTGGTCATCACAAAAAGTGCAAAATTATTTTTATCATTACGTTTAAATAATTTTGAAATAAAAAATTTGTTATATTTCCTATTGGATATTTCAGTTTGCTCTGTTTCTGCCTAATATTAAAATCATTACTTATTTTATTATTTGAATAAATGTAATGTTATAATGAGA